CTCTCTCTCTCTCTCTCTCTCTGTAGCTGTCTGTGTGTGCGTTTTGAGACAAAATTAATTTGGTGTTAATAAAGTGAAAGTGTGGCCTTCCATTCACAGTTTGTCTGTGTGCGAAACTGTCTTCAGCTCTTGGGCTCTTTAAGACTTAAGGCTTATATTGATTGGCATCCCACAAAACTTTAAGCATACACAATCAAGGGGCTGCTGTTGGGTTGGTGTTTCACTTGAGGTTTGGGTTATTCCATTCTTGTGGCATTTATTGCCGCTGAGCTTTTTGGGGCGACTCTGGAGTGGGTTTGGATGTGTTTGGTTTTCGCATATTGATTGGTAAGCCAAAAACTTTAAAGCAATCATTTTAGTTGGAATCTTTCGGTACAGTAGCCGTTGAGGGAGCAGCTGAAAAGGAATTAAGAGTATAATGAAGTAGCTTATAAATGCTTAAGGCAGCCCCGAGATATCTTAAAGAATGATTCGATCCCGAGCTGTTGGATGAAGTCTCCACTTCGCCGGATCGTGCATGGGAATGCTGTGAAAATGTATTAGCTGGGTCCTTCTCTGCTGCCGATCCTGGCAGGGAGCCGCTGCTGCTGCGTAAGAAGCAAAACTTTGGCCACTTGGCCACATTGCTCAAGTGTTTTCGAGGCAGGGAGCGCAGGCATGCACTCGAGGGCCTGGCCCGGCCCGGCCCGGTGTCCACCTTCTCTCCGTTGCACAGTTCCTGTTGGCTGGGCTGGACATCAAAGTTGCCAACTTTCGACTTGAAGAATTTTCGACAAGGCGACTTGGAACTTTTGTTGTAGCTGGAAGATACCTGAGCAAAAGGCAGCAAGGAGCAGGGAAAACTCCGCCTAAAAAGAAGGTGGAATCACAGGCAGAAGCCAGAAGTTTAATTGTTGTGTGTGTGTTGTGTCCTGTGTCGGCCTCCGGGCCCCGGCCGGGCTCTGGCCCTGTAGCGGCAGCGCTCAGGTGTCCTTAGTGGTGTTCTAATTACTAACAAACTTAATTTGCTACAAGTTATTTTCCTGCGGACACCGCTTGCCCCTGCATGACCACTCCTTTGCCTCTTTGCCATTCGGCTGGGACACTTAAGCCACACGCGAAGCGGACCCTTCTCGCGCGGCAGGCTTTGGCAGGTCTTAGACCAGGCCAGAAGAAAGTTTTGGAGGAACTGCTGCGAGCTGCACACCAGAACGATCTTCCACAGTAGATCGTGGGCAATGAAATCTGTTGCTGACCAACCGCACAGCCAGAGCCCATCATCCATTGTGCCCTGGCAACGGCAGTGGGAAACCGCTCAGGGCACGGGTCGTTTCTGAAGACTGTGTGGACGCGGTCAGGTCTGAGCCGGGGCGCAGTGTCCGTTGTAAATTATGCGCTTTGGCTTACAAATTGCATGTGCCTGGCAGCATGAAGCATGTGGCAAGTCAACTGACTGACTCCTGGCAGCACAAAGACAGGGATGCTCACCATCTCCAGCTCCATCTCCAGCTCCATCTCCATCTCCACCTTCAGTTTTATGCTGCATCTTGCGAGTGCGAGTATGGTGCATCTTTGGACTAATGCGTGGTCAAAGTTGTTTGCCTCTCCGACCACCGGGCAGTGTATTCAAATGAGCGGCAGGCAGGACTGTGCAACTCTTGTGTGTGTTTTGTGGCACTGCCAAACTGGCGAGGCAACTTTCTTAGACATACTTTTCTTATGGTCCCTGGCCGCTGGACAGCAGCGTGGCCGCCTCAAAGGCAAATATTTTATGCTTTACGTGGTTGGGTTACTTGAGAAATTACGTGGTTCGTGCAGCAGAACACCAACCAACACCACTCCCACGGCTCTTTCATTGTCCTTTGATGGGGGGTGCAATGGGTTTTTGCTAGTGGCCAGGGGACCGGCATTAGTATTTAACATGAGCTGCCTAAAAGTATGCAAAGTTATTTCTTGCTCGTTGTCTCTCGCTCACTCGCTGATAGTACCTCTTGCCAGGGTGTGTCCTTGCTGTTTCTGACACAATACGTAACACGAAGGAGCAAGCAGCCAGAGAGCCGACTAAAAGTATTCAAGTATCGAGCAACTTGAAGCAAATATGGCACAAAATCTATGGTTTTGGTAGTAACTTTAGATTTACTTACAGTCCAAAATGCCATCAAAATATTGGACTAAACACAGCTGCAAACACACAATAATATTTATACGAAATGTGTACCCAGTTCGAGGGCATCAGACGGTCCATCAAAGCACTTTCTGGCTGCTCCTTCTTGGCTGTGGTGCGTTGGGTTAACTTAATGTTATGTTCTAACTCTAAACGCATCCAACTTGACTTTTTATCCTTAACCGCCCACCGCTGCTTGACCCTCTCCCACCCAGCAGCATTCAGCTGGCATTCTCGACTCCTCCCCCCTGTGTAGTCCTTCGGCAAATGCTTTTGTGTACTTAGCGCCAGTCCAAAAAAAAGTTGTAAAAATCGTGTAAAAAATTCTCGCACACAAAACGTGCAAAATGCGTTCCAGCAGCCAGCAGGCAGCAGCCAACCGATACGATTCCCCACCCTGACCGGACTCTGATAATTTATTTTAATGATAATGCATGCGAGCCATTCCGGTGTTGCAGGTTCATGTCCAGATCTAGTAGCGTGGTTTGTGGGCTATTCTGGGGTTAAGTTAGTGCGTAGTCAGAGTCCGAGATGGGTTAAGTGAGCGGCTGGCTAAAACTTTCAACTTATGGACAGCAACCCAGGGGCCAGAAGCGCACTCGATTCAGTTTTCGGTAGATTGTTCGCCTAATGATATGCCTCAAATATTAAGTGCATGACACGCCCACTTGGACAGCAACTGAGGACAGTTTGTGGCAGCAGCAAGGAGCAGCAAGGAGCACCCAGGCAGTGGATGGACGGACCGGACAGGACGTACTCGCATAGCGCATCATTGTAAAACCCTTTCGGCGGCTTCCAGCTACAAGACAAGTGCAAAGTTTTACCCACAAAAACTTTTATGGAAGCATAAAACTTGTGCATTTTTCTACAAAACAAAGAAGAAACAACCAAAAAACAGAAGCAAGAGAAAAGAAAAGGAAAAACCACGCACACACTCACTAAAAATACAAAAAGAAAACAACGAACAAAAAATCAACACAGTAGCAGAAACTGAAACCGACTTGGTCTCACTTTGGCCACTCTTGTGCCTAAAAAGAAAATGCAAATAAAAAAGTTTACCCTGCGACGGCCGCTTTTTCCAGCCACGATTTCTTTTTCTTTTTCTTTTCTTTTTTTTTTTGTGGGTATTTCTTTCCCAAGAACTACTGTGGGGCTGAGGCTGAAGGTTGCCTTGGTTTGGTTTTAGTTGGGTGAGTGCTGGACTCTGCGCTGACCAATGGGAATGAGGGTCTGAACCATGTCAGAAAATGTCTTGGGAGAGTTCAAGGCATTTCCAATACCGGCGCGCCAAGTTTGCCATTTAAAATCAGTCATAATATTTAGAGCTGTCTCCGAAAAGGTTGCCTTGAATCCCAGTATGAACTACTTGCAGGACCTGCTGTTGGCCCCTCTGTTCCTCGCCATGGCAGTGGCCCATTTCGCGTATATGGGAATGAAGTTTCTGCGTCGTGGGGCAGCTGCCAACACCACAGTGCCCGTGGAAATGTGTAAGTAAAGAACCATCTATCCATCGATCCCCAATGTGCCTTCATAATTGATTTTCCTGCAGTTCCATCCATGTCGTTTTTAATCGGCACTCTTGTGACTATGTGGGGACTTGTCTACACTTTTCAATCATTGATTTAAATATAAATAGTAAATAAATAAATGAGCCTGAAGTTCTGCCCCTGAATCACCCGGTTTTAGCTCGTTCGTGGCGTGCATTGCAATTAATATTAACAACGATGATGGGTCACGATTTGGGTTGGGTTTTCCACCGTCTCCTATCGCCGCTTGATCACGTCGACTTTCTGCTGGGGAACGCGTTCCCAGAGCTGCCGGAATCCCGTGTCCGATTTGCGCGGATTGAAGTGGGCAATTGTGTCGCGGGTGTAGCCCGTCGTTAGGGCTGGCGCCTCTGCGGAATACTCGCCCTCATCGCCCACTGGATGCACCTCATCGTTCGCAAACGCTCCGTCGTCCATGAACTCGAGTGCCAAAGCCTGGGGAAGCACATTTGCTGGGTGTTTTTCAATGCATTTGCAGGTCAAGACTCACCACGGGCAGCAGCAGCAGCAGCAGCAGCAGCAGCAGGGGGAACAGGGGCAACAGGGTGCAACGTGCGGCCATAGTCAACATTTGGCGAATGCCTCACAACATTTTCCATTGACCAACGAAACTCGACTGAGCAGCGAGCACCACACGACAACGACATCCAATCGGCTTCACGTGTGCCGCATACCAAAAACAAACAAAAAGCTCCGTTGACCCTGCCCGCCAAGCCCGCCGTCGGCCAGCGGTTTTATTTTTAGAGTAGCGCGTCATTCCCTCCATTAGCCCCATGCCGCCCCCTAGCTTGGCTTATAGTTTGGCTGGGCCCCCCGCCAACGCTTGTTGACTCATTCGATTGCTCGCTTTAATGATGGCAAAAACGTTGAGCAAATGCCACGCTGCGCTCAGCGAAAACCACTCCGTAGATCGACGAATAATACACAGAAAAATGTTCCAAAAACTAACTAAGCAAACAAAAACAGAATGAAATCCATGGCAACTGCCACTTTTTTGCTGCTCTCTTTCAGTGTTTTTCATACAATAATTTTCATTCATTTGCAATGAGCAATTTATTGAGCAGAACGGCCAAAGAAAGGTGTCGGAAATGTGACACGTGATTCGTGTGATGAATTATGTCTGATCATTGAGATCGTAAAGCAAAAGTCTGAGTGCAATTGTGACAACAGATTTACGAGCTTGAAAATGGAAAAGACTTCGGAATTCGTTCTCTTTGTGGGCCCATAAAGATACCAAAAGTCACGATTCGCATTGGGTGCACGACTGCAGCTTGAGTCCTGCTGCGGTTTGTCCACATAAAAGGGCACTGCTTGGGGCACTCCAATATCTGTTTCCAGCAAACCCGAAGCCAAAACCACAATGAAGCATTCCCTGGCCGTCTTGGGCCTTTTCCTGGCCCTCAACTTCGCCCTGCACTCGGGCGCAATGGGAAAAGTAAGTTGCTAAACAGAATCCACTCGGATCAAGTGACATTTGCCTCTCTGTTCGTTTAGCTATGCGATGTCAATGCCATCTTCAATACGGCCAAGGCCATGTGCAAGCTAAATCCATTCAAGCTACACTGCGCAGAGATTGATCAGGTAACAGCTGCCACAGAGGCAAGCAGAAAGCGGAAATTAATTAATTAATCCTTCTTGGACCTACTTCGACAGGGCGTCGATAGCTTCGCGCAGCTGGTGCTGGCTCGCCAGTCCAAACTCTGCAAGATCCCTGGTCCCATTTGGCTGCTGTGCAAGTACTGCGAGGTCACAGAGCCAGAGTCGTCCAGAGAGCAGACAGATGCAACAAATGGCACCGCAGCGGCTGGCAATGAAACCGCTGCGGCAGGAGCCAGTCGCTCGCTGCCCATCGCCATACCACCCATAATTCCTGGCCTTTAATAATGCTTTTATTCATGCAATTTATTCTACGTTCTTCTTGGCATGGCAATTATCTAAATATATTCGTTAGCATTGCAATTTTGAATGGTTCCCTCAGTCTGTACATCGATCATGGCCCTGCCCTGCGGCTTACTCATTCCTTCGTGGATTCCACACACCTCTTGGTCAGCGTTTCAGTCAAAATTCAATTAATCGCCGCCTTATCGGGCAGCGCGCATCAGGAACTTATGAGCTCCGCACTCCGACTGTCATAGTCGACGTGTATTTAGTGGCCACTACAGTTAGAGATCGTTATCCAATTAGTCGAAAAGCTCGTGTAATAAATTGCCCGAATTAAGGTGCGGAATTTTAATTACATAATTTACGCGTGCGTTGCGTGGACATCGATGATGCGAGGCGCAAAGGGATGGTCCTGGTCAGGCCTGGACAGCGACTGAGAGCCGTGCAGCCAAAAGTGCGCTTGATAGCTCATCTTAATAGAAAAGTACACGCACCCAGGCGAGGGGGTGTCATTAGAAAAATGACAGTAATAACAATAATTATGAATTTTATCCGATTAGCGGACAGGCAGAGTCAGAGCCAGAGTCAAAAGTCAGTTGGAGAGTTGGACCTGCCTTGGACATATTCAAATATTTAGTGCAATGCGTGCCATTGAACAATTAATTCTTATCTAGTTGGACTGATGCAACAGTGCCGCAAGGGCTCCTCCTTGGCCAGTGACTTTGCCGTGGGCATTCCTCACATGTCACTCGTCATCGCCATTCAGCATTCAACATTGCCGCCAACTGTGGGGCAATTGCGTGTCAAATGCGCTCAATTTTGTTATGACAATGCGATGTAATTAGAGGCCACGCATAGGCCTGGCTGCTGATGACCGGAGCCAAAGCCCCTAATATATGATGTCCCTCCTCCCCACTCTCCCACAAGATGAGCACGAGTCCTGGCTCTGGGTGTGTTCGCGCACTTGATAAATATTGTAAATGGGTGCTCAAGCCTCAACCCGGCCGGGCCCCCCTGATGATGACCAAAGTGTGAATGACAGTGGTCCGAGGCGGGGTCTGCTGGGCTGAGTGAACATTTGCATATAGCAGCAGGGAGTGTTCCTTTTGGTTTAGTGACAAAGTTTCGAAAGATTTTGCAGCAGATGCGAGACACTCGTATTCGCTTGCCTATTCGTACTATTGGATTGAGTGCTCTGGCCGAGGTGCATGCCATTAAAAAGCTGTGTGGTCGCGGGCAACTAATTAAAACCACTTAGCAAATGCTTTCTCAACTGTAAAGTTAGCTATAAACAACGAACCCAAGCCCAAGCACACACAGGTGTAGGTGCAGAGAGACATATGCAACTTGAAACAAAATTAAAAAGCAAATAATTTTCATGGCATTTCCCAGCAGCAGCAGCAGCAGCAGCCGCAACAGCGGCAGTGGGTTGAAAAAACATGCAGGGAAAACGGCAAGGAAAGGAAAGGAAAGGAAAGGAAAACATGAAATTCCAGCATAATTCCAAATAATATTACAACACCTGCGAAACCGTTTTTGAGTGGTGAATGGTGTGGTAGTAGCGGGCAGGGGGACACTCACACTCGTGGCAAAAAGGGCTTTTTCTTGAAAAACCGCTCCACTGGAATTAATTAATTCGCCGTTGACGCTGCAGCAAAAAAGCAAAAAAACACTCACACACACACACACATACAAAAAATATAGAAATAAAAATAAACAAGAAATGCGAGAAAAATCAGTCAGCGAAATCAAAAAGATATGCACAGAAACCTCCACGCACATAGGTAGAATCGGGCATAGACGAATCCACAGAGACCTGCACAAGGAATCAAATAAAATAAGGCAAACAAATTGAAAAAAGTTAGACAATTGCACAGGGATATGGGAGCTACTCGAGGCGAGCCTGAACTCAGAGATGTCTCTATTGAAAATTCCAAATCAATCTTTGGGGCAATCCCAAATGGAATCTTATTTTTATATTCCTGCTGAACAATTCCCAGTGCCAAAAGAGTAATTTCTTATGTGCCAAAATGTCTGCCTTTACTTAGATTTATGGCTTCTGATGGCTTATTTATTTTTACTCCTATTTTGGGTGATTTTATTATTCCAAGTTTGATTTGAATTACAGTTTTTTGCATGGCATCATGTCTAGGATCCACACCGAATGGCTGTAGCGCAGAGTGCGAGTATTTGTAGTATTCATCTGGTGAGTGGCGTGAATAAAAATTCACCTGCTCTGTGTGTGTGTGCGACGCATGTTCAAGGTGCAAACGCATACAAATTTTTGATTCTGATTTGCCTCTGTGTGTGTGTGTGTGTGGTAGGTGCATGTCTCCAGCTGTAGGTGTAGTGGCACTTGCTGCTCATTTTATGCTTCGATTGGCCCTCAAGTGCAGACGCTTTTTGCCACAGCTGAAGCTGAAACTGAAGCTGCCTGCCGCCTGCAGCCTGCCGCCTGCCGCCTGCATCAACAGCATCAGAATTTCCAGCTGCCATCTGCCATTTGCCAAAGCACATTCCACAAGGAACAAATGTGCACAGATGTGGATGGGGTGGACGGACGTCTAAGTGCTTTTTGGCAAACGAGTGAGTGAGAAATGTGCATTCCACATCAGGCACCCATCAAACGAGTCCAAGATCGTTGCATACTTTCGGGCCGCCAGCGATCAATCATCTCTGCGCATAATTAAACGATCATCGACTCTAGAGAGCTGTTCACTCCCAACCTACACGATCTGTCGATGCATCTTTTGGTGCTTAAAACTATTGGAAGTCATCAACTCCTCCTCCCAAAGAGTCAAGTTGCAAAATTGAGATCCCAAAAACTTCTCTAAAAGAAATTTCGAAGCTTCCACGCTCAGTCCAAGGCCGCCAGATGGGCATCTTTGTGGCATTTGCAGTCACAGTTCATTTGTCGATCGCTGAGCCGTGAACAGAGCATCGCTTAGAGCAAGTAATGGTCCATGAAGGGGCTCCCAATCTTGATGGAATCGGGCCTATAAAGCGGCCACACAAAGCACATTGCCCAGCATATAACCATAGACCCAGTGATGGCATATCCAATCGTTGCTTTGTTGTCGGTCCTCGCCCTGCTGTTGTGCCTGAGCCAGAGCTGCTGGGCGGCTCCGTCGGGCGATGATTTGGCCAAGTTTGGGGAGCTGGAGCGCACCATCAAGGAGCTGACTAGCTCCATACTGACCATGAGTGCAGGCGGAGGAGCAGGAGCAGGAGCAGGTTAGTTCGCACGACAGCAACTGAGAGATGCAGGACAAATCGTGGACTCTAATCCTTTTCCAGGCTTACTGGAGCGTGGCACTGGCGATCTGCTGGATGCCAGGGATGCTGGCAGCAGTGGCAGCTGGCCCGAAGAGAGTCGCTCCTAAGCTGGATGTTGGACACACCCAGTGACCCTGGCCTTCACTCAGCTCTGCAGTGTAATCCTTTTGTTCCTCTTTCCTTTTTTTTTTTTTGTTTCCATTTAATAAAACAGCAATGATAACTGTGATGTATCCATGTACGATCGCAGCCGAAGAGAAATCTTATCAAGTCTGGCGGCCTACATAGCGATTTCAATCCAATCCGAAAACCAGCGGCCGGCAGCGGCTGCAAATTGTCAGCTAAATCTAATCAAGTTAATTTACGCAGTCGCACCACAGATCCCATTGCATTTCCAATCAGTCTCCGCGTTGAGCGCCAAGGCAAAGACTTAAGACTGAGGCTTAAGTGCCTCGATGGCGACTCAATTTGTGGACCGCACCACAGCACCACTCAATTAGCTAGGAAATGGAAGCAGTGGGATGGGATCTGGACTGGCACTCGGACTGTGACTGAGGTGAAGATCAGCTGGCAGGCAGTCTGCCATCAGCTGTTGGCTCTGCCCATGCCCATGCCCATGCCTGTGACTATGCCTGTGGCTGTGGCTCTTCCGAGTGCCAGTGCTGAGTGTGTCATAATATCATTAATACTAATAATAATAATACTTTAGTTGCTGTGTGGCTACACATATGAGTGCTGCAGCTGACACTCTAGCCGGGGGACGGATGATAGAACCTAAATCTAAATCAAAGTGTAACCAGACGCTGCTCCACAGAGCCAGCCGCCTTCCTTCAGTCACCTCTGATGCGTGCCACAGAGCGGTGCGATCTGTGCGGAATCTAGACCTAAAAGACCTACAATTTCGCGTACGATCCACCGATCCATCGAACCAACGGCAGTGCCCTGTTTTTTTTTTTTTTTTGTGTGTTTTTTGTGTGTGTAAAGTTGCTGTGGCACAATGCATGTGGAGGAGCTGCGCGCCAGCTTGCAGAGCTTCGGCTGGCCGGACTATTTGGTTTTCTGCATGATGCTGGCCATCTGTGCCGTGATTGGCATCTACTTTTGCCTGCAGCTGCGCCGCGAGTCCCGCAAGCAACGGTCCAGCGGTGGCGCCGAGGAGGCGGCGGCCAGTGCAGCCTCCTATCTGGTGGGCGGCAGGCAAATGAAGATATTTCCCATAACCATGTCGCTGATATCGAGGTGGGTAACCAGATCCCCGATGGGGCTGTTCCATGGAGCATTTAGCAGCTTCCCAAGCAAAAGTTCTCCCCCTATTGTGGGTCGTTGTTTGCTCTAGTTTGCAGTCCGCTTGGGGGTTTATTTTTAGCACACTCAACTCTGACTATCAACGCACTAAATCGGAATTGTTTCATAATTAATAATTGGCACTGGCAGCAGCTGGAATTGCCTAACGTCGCTAACGAGCCAACTAACCCGCATGCAGGGCATTCCAGAATTGACGACAGCCTCAATTGAGATTGGACAGAGACGGAGACTGCGACTGCGACTAAGATTCCGAACAATTGAAGTGACAAAGACGACGACGACATTGGTGCTAATTGAATTGTATAAAACGCACTTTGATCTCTCCACAGTCGAGAGTCGCGGGCGTATTGTGAAGGTCAAGGCAATTGGCAGGGAAACAAACCCACATACGTGGAGCTAATCACTTGCAACTCTTTCCTTTTGTCATCTCCCCCCTTTGCAGCTTCATTTCGGGCATCACTCTGCTGGGCACGCCCACGGAGGTGTATCTGTACGGCGCTCAGTACATGTACATCATGGGCTCGCTGGTGCTGATGGGCTTCTGCATGTACTACTTCTTTCTGCCGGTCTTTCACGAGCTCAACTTGATATCCACCTACAAAGTAAGACCCTAATCTCTCCCATTTGCCAGCTCTAATGATCGTTTCACCCGTTTGGCAGTACCTCGAGCAGCGCTACAATCGCAGTCTGCGACTCTTTGGCTCTGTCATGTTCATTGTCGCTTCGGTGAGTTGCCGCCTGCAGGCGCCTGCAATGTTTCCAGCTCCTAATGTGAATCCAACTGCAGCTCCTTTGGCTGCCGATTGTCATCTATGTGCCAGCGATAGCCTTCAATCAGGCCACAGGCGTAAACATTCACATCGTCACGCCCATTGTGTGTGTCGTGTGCATTTTCTACACGTGCATCGGCGGCCTGAAGGCAGTGGTCTGGACGGATGTCATCCAGACCATCATCATGTTCGGGGCCATGGCCCTGGTGCTGATCAAGGGCACCCTGGACATTGGCGGACCGAGTGTGGTGTGGCAGCGGGCACAGGACACGGCACGCCTGGAGCGGCCCAACTTCACGCCGGACATCACGGAGCGCTACACCTTCTACTCGCTGGTGCTCGGCGGCGTGGCCCACTGGCTCAAGTCGAATGCGATCAGCCAGAACATGATCCAGCGCTACCTTTCGCTGCCCACCCTCCGGGATGCTCGCATCGCCATTTGGACCTTCATTGCCGGCGTGCTGGCCTTCCTCATGATCTGCGGCTACACGGGACTCCTGATCTACGCCACCTATGCCCAGTGTGATCCTCTGGAGACGAAGTTGGCCCAGCGCAACGATCAGCTCCTGCCGCTGCTCGTCATGGAGACCCTCGGCTCGTATCCGGGTCTGCCCGGCGTCTTTGTTGCCGGGGTCTTCAGTGCGGCACTCTCCTCGCTCTCCACCGGCCTCAACTCGCTGTCGGCCGTCGTGCTGGAGGATTTCGTGAAGACATTCCGGCGCCAGCCCCTCACCGAGGGACAAACGGCATTCGTGATGCGCAGCGTTGTCGTCGTCTTTGGCATTGTCTTTGTGGCACTGGTCTTTGCCGTGGAGAAGCTGGGCGCCGTCCTGCAGCTGACCATCACCCTCTCCTCGGTGGCCAATGGGCCGCTGTTGGGCATCTTCACCGCCGGCGTCATGCTGCCGTGGGTCAACTCCAAGGGAGCGCTGCTCGGCGGCTTCAGCTCGCTGCTGGTCATGGCCTGGATGTGTGTGAGCGCCCAGCGGGATTTGGTCACTGGAAATCTGGTGTACCAGCGCAAACCCTACTCCACGATGGGCTGCAACTACACCTTTGCCGGGGAGCCGCGTCACTTCGCCAGTCTGCCGCTCGACGGCGCCTTCAGGTGAGTGCTCCATCGGTGAAGCGGAGCTCAAAATCGTTATTAATTGATTCCCCCCTGCAGCCACGAGGTGCCCAGTGGTCCCTTCCAGCTGTATCGCATCTCCTATCTGTACTTCACGCTCTTTGGGGCACTGCTGACCATTGTGGTGGCCCTCGTGACGAGCCTGCTGCTGCGCGAAACGGATCTGGATGCCATCGACACGCGGCTGCTGACGCCCTTCGTCCGGCGCTGGCTGGAGCGACGTCGCCACAAGCAGTCACAGATCCCCACCAGAACGCCAGATGGACTCAAGCCCAAGACCATACAGGAGACGGCCACGTGAAGAGAGAGAGACAGACAGATGGAATGGTTGGATGGACGGATGAATGTTCCTTCGGTAGTTAAGCAAATATTTAAAATAAAACACAATTCATAATTATTTGGGGCTGATGTGGAAATGGGTTCAAAGCAGTTCCTATCCTCTGTACATAATTAGAAAAATGCCCGCAGTTATGGTGCCATTCCAGGACAGGGCCTGGACCTGGACCCGGACCCGGACACGGACTGGTGCTCCAGACGCTGACCCGACAAATCAAAGAGCTGCCCGCCCCAAAAGGCAACACAAAAAAAATATGGAGCGGGACAAGAGCCGCTTTCAAGTGCCAGGCACAAGCGGCTGGGTTTTGGGTCAAGTCTCCAAGGGCTGGGGCTAAGCGAAAAAAGGGTTCCATGTTAGTTTCGCTCCTGCTGCTGCTGTTGCTGCTGTTGCTGCCATTAATTGAATATTTACTGCTTTTCATGTGTGGTCCAACTATTTTGCCCCCGTCCCGCACTTCTCCACTGTATGTTTAGGTCGTTTATGCAGCAAATTGAATTGTTAATGAGCTGGCAAATGTTTGCAGAATTAGTTTCTGCCGGCCCAAACCACGGGCACCATGCATCGATGAGACACAGAGACAACCCTTGACCCCGGCAATCCAAATCCACTTGGTTTCAGTCTCTCTCTGCCTCTCAGTCTCTCTCTTAATTAGGCGCCTGCACAAAAGACAGCGGCAAAATGTCATCAGAATGCATAATGACAGGCTCCGAGGAGCGAGGGCCTGAATTTGGATAGGGTGCACACAGGTGTGCAGCATCTCGTGGCATATTCAAAAACTATGTTGTATGCATGGCCAGTGACAGGAGCATGAGCATGAGCAGGCAGTAGCTGGAGGTGGAGCAGGGACAGGTACAGGTACAGGTACAGGTACAGGTACAGGGACTCGAACTGGGGACAGCGACAGTTGTCATATGGGTGGATTGTTTTTTTGGCCAGGACAGGAAACGGATGTTGGCAGCGCTAACGTGCCATCCTGCCATCCTGCCACCACCAGAAACAGCAGCAGGGTCCTGGCCAACAGCGACAGCCACAAAGGGCAAACAACTCCTCGCTCTGTTAACTTGTTTATGTCGCCGTGTTGCTTTTGTGTTACTTTTTATGCTGGAATATAATTTGCCCACTCCCCAGCACTCTCGCTCACTCACTCACCCTCCTTTTGGGCAGAACATGGAGCACATGTGGGCTGCTAGTGCCCTCGAATGGGAGCTGATCCTCTGGCTTGGATCTACTCATTGTGCATTTTGATTTCAATTTATTTTGTATGTTTCTGCTCTGAAAGTTGCTCTCCATCTTTAAGAGTGTTTTCCATGGTTTTCATTGATCTAAAACCAAACCAAACATGGGGTCAGCTCTTTTTGTTCATTTTTATTAGCTCAATTCTCTGCTGTTTATCTTCTTACCATTTCTATCTAGATCATCTTTTTGCTGCATGCTTTTCCCTCTATGCTCTTGCATCATTTTTGCCATATTTCCCATGGGAAACTTTGATATTTGATCTGCAGCCTACTCTGATCTCGGTCTGCACATGTCAGTATCCATTCCATTCCTCTCTCAGAAACCCTTACCCTCTTGCTGTTGGAGCATTCCATCCGTGGCTGCACCTTTGGGGCACTTCTCTGAACAAAGCCACTTGACATGTAGTTCGGCAGCGGGCAGCGGGCAACTGTGCCGCCAGCCATATAAATGCCAGTGACAATTTGCAACGGACTGTGCCCCAATCCCAATCCCAATCCCACTCACACCCCTTTGCCCTGCCACTGTTCCCTTTCCTCTCTTTTTTTGTGTTGTTTTTGTGTGTTTTTGCGGAGAGCAGGCACAAAAGTAATTTTTGATTGTTTTCATGAAAATGAGCATAGAAAAATTATAATTAAAATTCATATGAAAATTGTCGGAACAACAAAATGGAGGAGAGAACAATGGGCCCATGGGTTGGTGGGGGTTGTGGCTGGGGGCTGGGGGCTGGTCTGTTGCCGGCAACCACCGAAAGATTCCATCTGAAAGGACCCAAGAAATGCACTGCCACCCCCCCCTCCCCCGCTAGGTAGTCGGTAAAGGGGGGGGGGGGGGATCTGCGGGTTTATTGTTTGTGGGGAAACATAGGTTCCCACACACATTCCACCTCACTCCCCGACAAGCCTCATTCTCAGGCTGAACAATCTTTTCCCCGGCTGCCAAAACAATGTCAGCTTACAGAATTAGAAGGAAAGCAAAGGGGGGATGGGGGGTAAGGGGGTAAGGGGCTGGCCTCTACCTGAGCCCTCCACAATGGTGCAGATCCAGGAGCAGGCACAGACCCAAACGCATGCCGACTGCTCATTTTCTTGTTGTCGTTTCATTTTTGGCACTTTTTGTGCGATAAAATATTTAATTATATATTCGGCAGCTTCGTTCCGTTTGTGCATTGTGCGGTCTGCCCTTTGGCCCATTTTGCTCGTGCATTACCTTGGGCAGCGAGTGGGGAGGTGAGAGGCTGGAGAGTGTTTTGCTTCTGAAATTACATTTCGAGTGGCTGCCCGAGAGTATGCCATTAGCCAGAACGATTCCCAGGCTTGTGCTCTTTTATTACATTCGAATCCAACACAAATCTAATTCAAGTTCCATCTTTATCAGCCTCAGCCTCAGCCTCAGCCAGTGGCCACTGTGGTAGCTGCCGTTGTCGTTGTGGTGGTGGTCGTCGTCGTTGTCGTTGTGGTGGTCGCTGCCGTCGCCAGTGGCCGCTTCACAATCGTTATCCGAATGCAGCCAGCATGATCCACATGCTCCCCAATGGGCGCTGCACCCACCAGCAGTGCCAGCAACAGCAGCAGGAGCGGCAACACGTGGAGTAACTTCAGCGGCCTCATCTCATCAGTCGGAGTCGAGAACTGATGGCGTCGCTCGCTCTGGCATTTCATTTATAGCTGCAGGTGTGTCCGTCCCATCTTGGCCAGCAGAATGCTGGAATAAACAATAAACAATAAACAATCGGGTATGCTGGATCAACAAATGTGACTACAAATTGCTGCATCACCCACAGTCATGGGTCACGTGCTGCGATCCCCACTTCCCCGATCCGTTCTATTCAGCTTTTGCCGGGTCAGATAAAGATAATTTCGTTAACTCGTAACTCGTGTTTACTGTGCTCCATTGAACAGTCCAACTGTCAGAGCTTTTGCATATTTTTATCAAGCTTCTGTTCAAAGATCTTCTCGACAAAGGCATTCAATGCTTTTGTGGGGTTTTTAATGCGGCAAAACTCAAGTATTTTGCCACCGATCAACTGCATTCTTTCATTGTTTAATGCCAGAAACGATTGCAACGCTGCACACAAAACTATTCTGATGGAGTTTTAGCTTTGAAAATGCCTCAAGAAGTTTTATGCAGAAATTTGGAAATTATTTTAGTTTGTTTTTTAAGTTATTTTCACATAACTTTAGTATGCCACATCTTTTTGTAAGTACATTTACCATTCTGAAAAGCTAATAAGCAAATCAAGAAGTCGTACCTGAAACACTTCACGCTTCATCGTACCTTCTGGCAAGCTTTTAGCTTTGAAAATCAAATTTGAACACTTGTTGCCGTATTCTTTATCATAATTTTGGTTTTAAAAATTCAGTAAAAATCGAAAGACTGCATATGCCGTGTGTTCTTATGTCCCATGTGTAGCTGCACTAATTGGGCGTCGTTTAAGGCATCGCTTGAAGCAATCAAAGAGTAAATCCATAATAAATGATAATTTTTGCTGTGTGACAATGTTCCTTTATTCTGAAGCTAAGGTGTGTGGTGCGTTTGCTACATAGGCAAATGGTCAGGGGTCAGGGGTCAGAGGTCATGTCAGAGGTTGCACGTATCCAAATTGCATGCAAAGGCTCTGCTAGCCATATGCGGCTGTGGTGCTGGGCGGTGGTGGCGGTGGTGCTCCACGCGGTGGCGGGGAACCCGTTGAGTTGCGATGATGGCCAACAGCTTGGAGTCCCTGCACCAGGCCATGGCTCACTCCAGCTGCGGACAGTTGCTAAAAGAAAGTGGAGATTAAAGCAGGAACTGCCAGCGCCTAAGAGCCTCAACTCACCAGCAGACAACAGCTGAGGACGAAGGCAAAGAGCAGATAGAGACGCATCTTGGTGGATCGGCAACTGGCGGTTCAATGGATGACATTGGCTTCGAGGTTGCCGCTTATATGGCCTCTAATCGCAGTCGCAATTCAAATGACACATTAAAAACCTAATTGAGGTGTGGATTTTGTAATAATATTATTTCAATTGTGCGCCGCAATTATCGAGTGCACTGGAGCCGAGAAACAAACAGACACTCTGTGACACCGCACTCTGGGTCGGTGTTGGGGTTCTGCTGTTATATATGTGTAGGTACATAGATATGTACATATTTAGCCATCACTATAAACCCAGCCATCGATGGCTCTACGGACAGGGAAACCGCATTAGCCAGCCCCCATCCCCATTCGGGCACATGTCCCTATCAATAAGGAATGGTAATGCCAAACTAATGAAATGTGTCCCACAATTGATGGGCCTGAAAGCCATAAGCCAGTCGTGACTTGTCGCCAGATATTTTGATGAACTGCCAGGACATGTCTGGATTGGCATTGGCATTGCGATTACGTTCGAGATAAGCATAAACGTGTCGGGAAACTTTTATTGCCACAAGAAGGTGGATGGGTGGATGGATGGATGGATGGATGGATGGATGGAATCATGTAACTGAACTTTGACAGATTTGCCAGAGCAGTGGGGGATGTCGTAAACTACATTATATGACAGCAGGTAAGAACTCAAACTCGAAACTCGAAACACGAAACGGAACACCAGCAGCTGGAGAGGGTGTGGGCACATCCATGGCCCACTTTTATTGGATTTTTATGATAAGCCAAAACTTGCTTCCATTCTGCCTCTCGCGCTCTCCCTCCTTTTAATATTTTTTGGGGATGATTCGAAGAGCACTTTGGGCGCAAATTGCAGCTGTTATCGCTGATTAAATGGCACAAGCAACGGCGGGGGAGATCCGATACGAAATGCAAGGCGGTACAACGGATATCTGGCGACCCAACCCGTAGACAATGCAAATCAAACAAACAATAAATTGAATCAGGATACATTGTTGAATGTAACAGATAGGCTTTTGGGGCCGGGCATCCGGAGCACAAGGCTGGAGCAGGAGCTGGGAGCTGGGAGCTGGGAGGCCGGCATGCACATCCTAGAGACATTAAGGATATCCTTGAGTAGATGCAATTTTCTAACCAATATAATTCATAAATTTATTTTCAATCCTTTCCGCACATAAATTTTCATATTATGCACACAGACCCACAATTCTTTCAGGCCTATTGTCCTGCGTGTCCTGCGTGTCCTGCGTGTCCTGTGTCTGTGTGTGCATTATTATTTGTCGTCGTGCTTGTCATTATTTATATGGGCAGGCGAGAGATAAGTTGCTGCAATTGTGGCCCGCACACACACACCCAAACACACACACATGGAGGGACCCACCTCAAGCCACATCCTACGGGCCCATCTTGCCGGCAGGATGCAGCTTCAGGTCCTGGCAATTACTACTCACAGAAACACAGGCCTACAGTCCTCTGTCCACCCTCTGTGCTGCTGTGTCTGTGTTCAGTTTGTTGGGCCCAAAATTTTGATTTATAAATGCCAACACCGAACCGGTCGCCTCTTCTCTGCTCTGCTCTGCTCTGCTCTTCCCTTGCCGCTCCACTTTGGCAACTCCTGCCCCAGGAAGTTGCAGTTACTTTTGCTGACAAACGTCCCCAGGTCCTCGGGCACAGCGGAGAGTGCAACTCAAGTGGCCATTAATATATCAGTTCAATTCATATTTGAAATTTTGCATTTCCTACACAGGACGAAGCCTGCCTCGGCACAGATCCTTGTCCAGCAGTCCACCCAGTCCCCCAGTCCCCCAGTCCCCCAGTCCCCCAGTCCCCGCCCACGCATACGATTATGATTTGTGTCTTACTTAATGCACAGACGCACCAACTTTTGCCAGCACTGGGAGAATCCGAGGGACCATCAGAGGATGGTCATGGGTTCACTGTGGATTTGTTTTCGCCTCGTCAAAGCTGCTGCTAGTGGAAGAGCTCTTCCCTTTTCGCTCAGTGCTTGAAGTGCATTTGCCAGGAGCCGAGTTTTGTTGGGTTCCCCGTCTCAATCTGATTGATTTAGAATTCCAATTGAGACTGCATGAAATATGTTTGCTTCGTGTCTGGCTTCTGCCTGATGTCGGCTGTGACTCCTTCCTGACCTGACCTGACCTGACCTGACCTGTTTCGCTCTCTGGATACCCGACTGGCCTCCGGTCCTCCTTCGCATTTATGCATGGGCATATCCTTTTGCGAAATTTGCATTTTCCAACAATTGCAAACGGCAGCAGCATCAGCAGCAGCAGCAGCAGCAGCAGGACAACGACAACGACGACGACTTATTGGTATTTCATTGATTTATGACACTTGTGAAACAATTTGGAAAATCACAGATTAGCAGCCAGAGCAGAGAGAGCCGAGAGTTTCGGGGCCAGGCACTAATTACACCCTACGCCTCATTGGCCAGGCACCTTGGCTCATTGAAGGGTCTTGCTCTCGCATCTTGGATACGGAAAACCTCTTAGTGTGCACCGCCAGAGGAGCGGGCGAATTCTTTGAACTTTGTCATGTAAATGGCTGCCAGAGGGAACGGCTGCTGGGCGAATTAATTGCACACTCCCTGCCCGGTGTGGAGTGCAGTGTCGTCCCTAAGTAGAGGGCACGCTGCCATTGGAATATTTTACGTAAATGCCAAATAAAACTAAATAAATGCAGAGCATTTTATGTGTTGGATTTTAGCTGCAGGTGTTCGAAAAGGGAAGGGAAGGGTAAGGGCAGTGGGTTCTTCTATCAATCATGCCTATTAATCAGAGCAACAAAAAAAGGACTCCTACTTGCAGTTGTATTTATTTATTCATGGGTCACACTCTGTGGCTGCTCTTTGGCAAATTGCATTCGCCCATCATTGGCTTACACTTAGAGCCTAGAGCTTGTGTCTTGTGGCTCTCAATCAATGCCACAATCCTTGGCTATCATCAGTCAGAGTGTGTATGTGGATCCATCAATTACAGCATCATCATCATTATCAATAGGTGTAGAGCATCGGCAAGTGTCTGACAGGCCGAATGGCAAATGGAAACGGCTCCTACTCCTTGTTCATCATCATCTCCAGCTTCCCGAAGGCATTCCCTATCAGAGACGTGGCTCTGAGGCCTGCCTTCTCGAGTGCAGTCGAACAATTGAACTTTCCCCTTGTCCTGTGTCTTCCTTTGCTGCTCCCCCTTCCGGCTGTGCATCGTCTTTGGCCCAGCAACTGCGACTCCCAGCTGAGATTTATATGTCAGCCCAAAGGAGGGAAGGGACGAGCATTGTGCATTGGGTCGCTCCCTTTTGTACGGCTGTACGTGCAGTGATTAGAGTGCCGGGCTACAAACGATTTGTTGCATGTTGTTGCAATTGATTGTTGCAATTTCAATTTTGAATTATGAGGCTGCCTGCCAAAAGGGGTCCAAGGCGCAGCCACTGTCCACCGTCCACTGTCCACTGTCCATTGGCATTACCATTGCCTTTTGCAGCCTTGCATCCGTTTCCGTTGTGTTTGTCTCTGTGTGTGTCCTGCGTGTGTGTGTGTGTGACATTTTGCATGTTAAGCCTCCGTTTTCGGTACTCTCTGTGGCTCCCTGTGCAATGTGTTGCAAGTTGCATTGGCAGCGTCATTCAAGTGTTTAGTGATTTATTGAATGCCGTTAGAGTTGTTGTTTCTGCTGCTGCTGCTGCTGTGGCACTGCCATTGTTGCCTTGTTGCATGCAACATCCACTGCCTCTGCCTACCCTCTGCTTCCTCTGCTCATGTGCTCCTCTGAGATTAGCACAATGGCTTTGAGCACTTTTGACAGCCAAGATTTGTTTATGCCCGGGCAGAGTCTGCCCATTCCAGGCGTCTGAGAGATGTCCTTATCTTGCGGCATGTACTGGAGGGGGCGGGGGGTGGGGCTGAGAGGCTGCGTGATTCATGTCTTTGCATATTGGTAACAAATTTGTGGTAATTGATTTGAAATTGATTAATTAAGACGCCCCCTTTTGCTGCCTGTCTGCCGACTCTGCCTGCTCTTCAAGCGTCTCTCAGTCGCAGGAGCCAGAGGAACTGGAGCAGGAGACCTCTCCAAAAGCTCGACATTTAACCATCAAGCGTCAAAGCCATCAACCGCATGCAGCAGCCACAAATGGCGGCATCAGCCTGCCACATACTGTAGCTACTTCTGCCACTCTGCCACACACTCTCTCTCCTCTCTCCGCTCTCTCACACCAAGTGCTTGTGTGTTGGAGTGTGGCGCAGTGTGTGTGTGTGTGTGTGTGTGTGTGTGTTAGACCGGCTTGTTTGAACGTTATCGACACGATTTTGACATATTGAATAACAGTAAAATGTTGCCAGCAACAGCCAGGCCAGGCCAGACAACATGACAGACGTCTGGCTGAGGCTGAGGACCAGTGTTCCAGCTCCTGCTTGCTGCTCCCTGGGTTTTGCGGCTCCTCGGGCGCGCATGTTTGTGGCTGGCATTTTGGCATCCAGCTGCCAAATTGTGCATATGGGCCACAGGCCACACAGAGAGAGGCACAGTCACCAGTCAGCAGTCATGGCCAAAAATATGCCAGTATTCCTGCCTGCTGCCTCCTGCCTCCCTCCCCTGGCCATCCTCTGTGTTCGAGTGTGTTGACACATGGCCTCTGCCCTGGCGGGCTGCAGGGTGTTAACATACATCAAATATTGACAGTTTGCTTAGCTCACACTCTGCTCCACACAGCCCAGACTCCAGGCCCTGCAATCAATCCCCTCGCACCACAAGAGTGTGTGCGGATGAGACGCAAAACTGTTGCACAACCAAGCAGCGCCCTTGCAGGCGTCTGTCTGCGCGCCAGCAGATTGATCGGAAGATGTGGAAAGTATTTGGGAGAGACCCTATCAATTTATTATTATTATTAATATTATCATTATTATTTATTTTTTATTATTATAGTCGTTTTAAAACTTGCTCCATTCATATGCTCATCATTGTGTTGTCCCGCTTGAGCACCTATTTTTACGCGCATAGCTGTGTTGTTATTGCTTGTGTC